CTTACCTAATGGTGGAACAAGAAGAACCAACAGTGGTTGAAGTCGATGGAGAGTACTACGAACTGGGATACACGTTACCCGGTCAGCGAAACGGAAGTGCAGCTTGGTTCAACAAGTTGAAAGGTTACCTGGAAGAGTTTGGGTTAACAAGTGACAGTGGACTTCCGGCACTATTCTCAAGAATGCCAGATGAACAAGGATTCGGAGTAATCGTGTTGAGTCACGTAGATGACATGGAACTTTATGCATCAAGAGAAGAGTTCCAGAAATTGGTTGAATTCCTGAGAAGCAAAGGATTGAAGATCAAAGTGGAAGGACCATTGGATGAGAAGGAAGGATCGACGAGTTTCCTGAAGAGAAGTTTTAAGTCGATGAACAATGGAAACGTGGAGATAACCATGAATTCAAAGTATGTTGAAGGACTGGTAGAAGTGCTGAAACTGGAAGGAGCATATCCGAAGAAACTACCTTGTCCAGCAGACAATGGAAGAGCATTTCAAGCACAGAAAGGTGGAATGGAACCGCTGAGCGCGGAAGATCACCACACGTTCAGAAAAGGAGTAGGGATATTACTGCATCTTGCGCCCGAGAGGCCAGATATTATGTATGTCCTGAAGAAGCTGTCTACAAAGCTCGCATCGCCCGAGGAACTTATGTTGGTACATCAGGAAAGCTATCCTGGAAAGAGTTTCCTGGAAGTGAAGAACAGAAGCAACGAAGGGAAGGTCAAGAGAGACAATTACAAAGTGCCAGCACTCATAGAAGTGATAAGCGACAGTGATTGGGCAGCAGATCGAGAGTCAAGACAAAGCGTTTCGTGTGGAGTGATAATGGTGAATGGAAATCTGGTACATTTCCAAAGCAAGAGACAAAAGAGCGTAGCATTGTCATCTTGCGAAGCTGAGACAATCGCAGCTACATCAATCCTAAGTGAAGGTGTATTCCTGAAAGGACTGCTCAGAAGAATCCTAGGGATAGAACCGATACTGATGTTATACAGCGATTCGTCAAGCTCAAGACAGTTGATCTCAAGAAAAGGTTTAGGCAAGGCAAGGCATTTGCAAGTGAACCTTTTATGGATACAAAGAATTCCGAAATTGATTATAAAGGCGATAGCAGGGAAGAACAATCCGTCAGACTTAGGGACAAAATCCCTTACGAGGGAGAAAATACGCAAGTACATGCTAAGTCTAGGATATACAGGCGAGTATTTGACACAAGATGGTCAAGAAAGAAGAGAAGAAGAAGCTGAAGTGAGAAGGTCAAGAAGTGTTTCAAGATTCGATGAAAGGATGATCACAAGGATTATTCAGACGGTTACAACCGCAGTGTTGATATCGTTGACTGAGGCAAGAAGATTTGGTGAAGAAGCAGAACAAGGACTGGGAAGAGCGAGAGCAGTGATGTGCATACTGTTGTGCATGTTTACAGCGTTGATGATGTGCAGAATTGCAACCGCCGCCGTTTTGTTCAAGGGTTTCAAGAAAGTCCTCAGGAAAGAAGGACAAGAAGAGGAGAAGACCAGAGCAATGGCTGATGATGATGCAGTGAAAGTGATCCTGACTGAAAAGAGCAGGAGCATCAAGTCAACCGAATACTTAAATAAATTGCTCAAGAAAAGAAGGGAAGACAGGCCAAGTGCAGATGACATCTGGAAAGAAGTAGAGATACTCAACCAAGACCGCGAAGACAAGGCAACTGATGAAGAAGGAGAAAAGCAGGAAGAGCAGCCGAAGAGAAAAAGAAGAAAGTGAAGCCGCGTCTGATCCAGATTCGGGTGAAGAAAAGTGAGTCGGCAGAAGATGATGAAGAAGAAAAGAAGGAGAAAGGACGAGAAGAGGACCTCGAAAGCTTCAGAAGACAGCTGAGGAATTGGAAAGAGAACATGAAAAGCTCAAGATTGCAAAGAAAGAGAAGATCGAAGCCTTGGAAGCAGAGAGGATTACTGTGACAGAGGAAGTTCGAAAAGGAGTACTACAGCAAGGCAAGATCATGGACATAAGGATGGAAGAGCTAGAAGAAGCAGAAGGAGCAGCAAAGGAAAGAAGACAGAATGTGGTATCAGCGGCTAGCCAAGTCGCAAGTGAGGCAGAAGCAAAGAAAGAAGAAGAGGAAGAGGAAAAGAAGGAAAAAGAGCAAGAGGAAAAGAAAGAAGAAGAAAAGGTGGAAAGACGAGAAGATGAGCAAGAGACCAAGGAGGATAAGCCAGATCCCGAAAAGGTTGAATCCTCAGATGAAGAGGATAGGAAAGCAAGAAAAGCGCTCAAGGATGGATTCGACGTGGAGACTATGTCGATCTTTGAGACGGTAATGGGGAGCACCAATTTGAAGATGGTTCAAAAGAGCTTACCTACCGAAAGCTTGGAGAAGGAGTTTACTGCATGGCAGGAAGCCATTCGCAGACCGGTAGCAAGACTACCGACAGGATTCGGGTTACGAACGAATGACCTACTCTCAAGAGTCGATGATGAGATCAAAGAATACGTTGAGAGTATTTCAGTCATGACAGAGGACGAGAAAACGCTGAAAGGGCTTTCAAGCAAGCCAAGAAAGATCTTGAAGGACTTGAGAAACAGCTCAGGAAAGAGATGGAGGAAAAATTGGAAGCAAAGCTGAAAGTTCTTCGAGAAAAAGAAGAGGAAGTTACAAGCGCGCGTGCAGATGTTCAAAAGACAGTGCATGCAAGGGAAGCGCTAGTGAAGTTTGGTGAGATGGTTCAAACCGCGGATAGATTGCTGACGACGATGAGTGAAGAATTTCCGCTGGACTTGTATACGAAGCCAGAAGAAGATCAAGAAAGGGAGCGAAAAGCGCTATCTCAGTTGATGGCTAGTATCAAAAGAAAGCGGGAAGCAAGCAGCCCGGCAACACCAGCTACAAAGGCAAAGCCAATGCCAAAGAAGTTGCCAGACAAATTCAGGCACCTCAACGCAGGAGTTTCTGAAGCAGAGATCAAAGCAGCAAATACGTTGGAGAAGCAGAAAAGGCTGAAGGATGAGCTTAAAGCAAAGATTTCAAGAGATCCCTGATGAAAAGATAGATGTTTGATCTCGGACATCAGAAGCCAAGCGAACCTGCAGGCGACCCGCCAAGCAAGGTGAACCCGCAATGGCTTAAGAAGGAACCATATCAAAGTGCAAAGTATCTGCGTTGTTACTATTGCAAAGGTGCGGACGGGCATAAGGCTCCGGAATGCCCAGAAACGGAGAAAGCAGTCAAGAAGTACTGTGAAGGCTTACCAAGACCCGACAAGGACAATGATTCGCGGAGAATATTCTGCAAAGTCTGTTGGTTGATGTACACCCACATCAAGTTCAGAAATTATCAGTTTAAAGGATGGGGGACACACACCCCGGATATTTGCTACCACAGGAATGATGTCGAAGATTACGTGCGTAGCAATGAGTACAAGTTTCCCGACGAGATCAAAGAGATGAAGGAAACAGAGAAGGCGACAAAAGGCTACTCACCAAAGAGCAGCTGGGGAATTGAACAGGTGAAGCCTAAGCAGGCAAGTGGTGAAAAGAAGAAGGATGACAAGAAAAAGGATGACAAAGAAGAAAAGACAAAGAAGAAAACTGAAAAGTCCAAGGACAGCAAGGACAAGAACAAGAGAAAACGGAAAAGCTCAAGTTTCGACCAAGAGAGAGCTGAAAAACGACAAAAAGGAGAGGAAGAACTGCTTTAGACCAAGGTTGCGGTCAAGGCACAAAAGTGAGTGAGGGCGGAAAGCCGCCCAAGGCAGAAAGAGTGAGGGCGGAAAGCCGCCCGGGCAGAAAGTCAGGGCGGAAAAGCCGCCCATGGTAGAAAAAGTTTCGTCTCACACCGCTGAAAAGCCTGTGAGAAGTGAAAGAAGTTTCACAAAACGCAAAAGCTCGAGAAGCTTGTGAGAAGCGTGGTTAAATCCACAGCAACAGCCAAGAGGACTGCGTAATGGTCCCAGGGCACACGAAAGCACAACGAACGTGTTTAAAGAAAAGGCTGAAAGAGGGCTGAACGAGCCAGCAAAGGCTGAAAGAGCCAGAAAAGGCTGAAAATGCCAAAAGTCTGAAAGCGCCAATGGGCGATTCAAGACGAGTTGCGGACTACAGCAACGGCCGCGACGTGAAAAATAGTGAGTGCGCCCGAGTTTTCAATAGGACAGTGAAAGCCATGCCAGCAGAGTGTGGAATTTCACTCAATCAATTTCTAGGACACCTACAAAGCCGAAGAAGAAGAAAGGAAGAAGCCAAAGACGGTTAAAAGTGCTGAAAAGCGTGCGAGAAGTGAAGATTAAAGCTCACAGGAGCATGCGAGAACCGTGGTAAAAGTAGGAAAAGTTTCACAAGGATCGCATTACACGACAAAGCTGTGTATGCGATGAGGGCGTAACAGATAGTTCAATTTTCCCCCATGTATAGAAACACACGGGAACCTAGTGTTTCACCGCAGGTCAAACGGAGGCTCAAGCATAGCCCGACAGCGGAGCGTTAGAGTGGAAAAGAATCCAAAGCTCGCGCCGTGATTATAAGAAGTATACTGGTATAAGGGTTTAAACTTTCAAGGGGGCAATGACGTTTTCGGAGCCCCCCTGCGAAGTCGAGAGGGACGTGGGCGGCAGGCTGCACCGTATGTGCTAGTCGATTCTCACTCACTCTCACGCACTCACTCACTCACTCACTCACTCACTCACTCACCCACCCACCCACCCACCCACCCACCCACCCACCCACTCACTCACTCACTCACTCACTCACTCACCGCGCTCAAGTCGCTCAGCTCTTCGAATCTCAAAATGAGATCCAAGATGACTCTCTTCAACGAGGCCAAGGCAATGGAGAAATTCAGGTCCGCGATCAAGGACCCGACCAAGTACGAGAGGTATCTACGCATCGATGGCTGAGAGCCTCTCTAAATCCCTTGCTGAGGTCACGCTTACGACCTGCTACGGTATAGCGATCAAGGGAGAGTCTGGCTGGATACATCTCCGACGATGAAGCTGCCGACGCAGCCGGGGTGAGGAGGGTCCAGAGCTGTCGTGGGGAATTCTAGATCCGATTGGCCACAAGGCTGTCCCGCATCACACCGACCCTAGTTACAAGGTTCCAGATGAAGGGAACGTTCAGATTTTGGTCGAGGGTGAAGCGACAACCGAGAAGGTGCAAATGTTCAATGCCGCGGTCAAGGCGATTGGACCCGGGCCCGGGTCCAAGGCAAACAGCGATGCTGATGTTGCGACCGAGCAGAGATTCTTCGATCTGGCTCACCAGAATCGGGATCGTATTCCGGATAGAAGATCTACTGATCCGGCGTATACCAATCCTCGTCTTGATATCTTCAGCACCCTTCCCGAGGAGCTGGACATCATTCCCGACGACCTAGATGAGGTGGGTACCAGAACCGATACTGATGCTGGTGCCCTGTCTTGGACAGTCACGCCATCCAGGCGGGGCTCGCGTCAGGTGAATGTCTCCGGCGAGGTTCCTGGGAGCGATGAGCCTCAGGACGATGCTGTGCTTGATGGAGCATTCAGACGGGGGTCCAGACCTCAGAGTCGCGTGCCTGCACGATCATGCTTTGCACGCGAACACGTGGGTGGTCATGTCCCGGAGCAAGCGCCTCCCCCGCCGTCCCGAGAAATGCCACCGCCGAGTGCTCCGGCTCATCGTCGCTCCCGTGCACAGGAAACGGAGAAGGTGGCAGACTCTAATGATCTAATGGAGAAGTGGTCAACGTGACGAGCAGATCGGCATTTGCTGATGAAGTCAAGATGCTGAGAGTGCTGAGGATGCAGCACGTGGTTCCGTCCGAGGATATGAAAAATTCAACGATCGAAACGCTTTATCTCACATTCACCATAAATCCCAGATCGCTTAATACCGCGAAATACATGGCGGCTTCATTGCTGGTCAAGTTGAATGCCAACACCGATGACAAGACCAACATGAAGAATGCCGGGGTAGGTGAGGCGGGCGCTGCCGTCCGGGAGGCATCTCCCAGTGGCACCTCGATGGCTCCCGCAGAGACCATCAATCAGCAGTTCACTGGGACGGCAACCCGCACAGTGTCTGGGCCGCCGCAGAAGGTCCCGCGTTCCGATCAATGGGCACCGTCTATGCCTAGGGGCAAGCCCATGCCTATGACTCGAACTCCCGATCGTGGAAGAAGTCAAGCACGGGCGCCAAGTGTCGCCGATACGGCTTCGACCCATCCTACCGTGTCTGTTCCTGCCGACGATGAAGGCGGGGCAAGCACGACATGTCACGACCACCAAGGCCAAGCCCAGCCCTGGACATTCCGACTCGACTCCTTGCGGAGTCCATAAGGTCCAGGGGCAAAGGCAAACCCGATAAAGGCAAAGGAAAAGGAAAACAGGATAAAGGAAAGGGTGTTAAACATTCTGCCAGGAACAGTAACACAGCTAGTGCAGTACAGTTAATGTACAGGAACAGCCGTCACGCACACGCGACGTGCAGGCTCGAGACCCCAGGACACACCGTGCCCAGGAACAAAAGTGTCCGACAGTCTTTGTGGGTAGGAACCCTTAGTGAAGCCCGTTCTTTAACATGGTAGCGGAGCTGCCTCCAGGAACCTCCTTGGCAGCGATGATGCTACTCGTAGCCATAGGAACCATGATGCTCGGCGCCATGGCAGTTTGCCTCGTTGCCGGATGGAAGCAGATGCGCGCAAATGAGCAGATCACCAAGAAGACGGAGACAGTGCTCAACATGCCCACGCTCAGGATCGCAGTCCGTTCAGGAACAAAGTACCACCGCAGAGGTTGTGGACACCTTCGCAACCACAACGTGACAGCAGGAAACGCGCGAGACTTTGACGCTTGCAGCGATTGCTACCCCGACCGAGTGTTGGTGGAAGAGAGAGAGAAAAGGAACATGAAGTGCTACGGTTTGGCAGCATGTATGGTGCTGCTGGTTGGTTTCGCACTGGGAAGCCTCGCAACTTTGTGCGGGATGATCTTGGTCCCAGGAGCAAGAAGTATGGCGGTGAGACCGTGGCAGGCCCTTGGCAACAACGTGGAGACCAAGGAAGAACTTGCCCTTGGAGACGCCTTACCCTCCAAGGATGTGAGCCGTGGGAGAAAGGAACTCACTTACGTAGAGAGTGACGAGAGCGAGCTCATGGCAGTGTGGTCGAGCAGAAGGAAGCCCAATACGCACCGGAACCGCTACAGGAACTACGACGTGTACGGCGAGTACTACCAGCAAGGCTACAACGAGTGCAGCGTGAACCCCGACGGCACCAACGTGAACACGATCAGGAACACAAACGCGTACACGATTAAGGACTATGTGGAGATAGGAAAAGTCATGGTACCGTACGCTTTGTTGTGCATGAACCAAGTGATGAACGAGCTCTACAGCGTCGTTAGCGTGACCGGCGAGTACTACACGGAAGAGAACAGGAACGGCAACCAGAACACCGAGAACCAGGAGAGTGAGAGCCTTGAGTCAGGCTACGCCCCTAGGTACCTAGTAAAACAACAGCGAGAAGTACTGAGGAAATTTGTACAGGAACATGTTCACAGTTTCGTAGAAAAGCTAGCAACTGTAGGAAAGAAGTTTCACGACGTCGTGCATGTGATAGTTCAGGAAGTCATTTCCAACAGAGTTGTATTTCAAGGAATTCGCATAGCAGTGTTCTTAGGAACCCCAATGGGACTGATTACTTGGATCACCCTGTCGTACTATTCTAGTGTGTTTTTCGCAAGAGCAAGCAACCGCTCAAAGCACCAAAGGAAGACAAGAGGAGAAAGGAGAGCACAAGCAGTGTGCAGGAAACAGTGCAAGTCGCTACTTTTAGCAGCACTAGTGTACAGCAACCTTGAAACAGCAAAAGGAATGGAGGATGCATTGAAGGCACTTGCCGAGATCAATGCACAGACCTTACAAGGAATACAAACACTAGCAGAGGAGATCAGGAACTCAGCAGCTTCAGGAAGTCAAAGAGAAGCAGGACTTACACAAGCATTCCAGGAAACCCTGACAGCAGTTCAGGAACAGCAGAAGACAGCGCAAACAGCGTTGGCAGACGCCCACACGAATGCAGCAACGACACTTGAGGAGATAGGAGCATCTCTGGAGAAAGCAGTAAAGGAACAAAGAAAGCCTGGAGAAGTGGAGTTGCACAAGCTGATTAAAAGCCCCGAAGCATTTTCCCCAGGAACATGGCAAGAAGAGAAGAGTGGATGGACAGAGTTCAGGAACAGGATGCGGATCTGGCTTGGAGCAGTGGATTCCAACATGGTGAAGATCATGGACATCGCCGAAAGGAACTTAAAAGATGATAAGCAAGTGAAGATGGCTGAGATGTCTGCAGAAGCGAAGGAAACAAGCAGACGCCTGTACAGTGTTCTTTGTTCATACACTAAAGGAAGGCCGTACCGAGTTGTAAAGCATGTAGCTGAAGAGAACGGTATGGAAGCTTACCGTATGCTACTCAAGGAATATCAACCAACGAATCGTGCAAGATCGTTGGAGTTGTTTCACAACATTCTCAACTACAAATTCGCTCACAACAAAGGAATTGCTGAGAATATCCTCGAATATGAGGAACACATCGAGAAGTACGAGAAGGCTACTGGAGAAAAGGTACAGGAGAATTTGAAAGTATCTACTCTTATTCAAGGTATGAAACCTGACGTGAAAAGGCACTTGTTGCTCAACATGGATGAGAAGACACAGTACAATACTCTTCGTCAGTACCTTGTGAACTATGAGTCAACCGAGCGTTGGACTAACTCTTTAGCAGCCCAGCAAGGAACACCTCACCGAACCACAACAGACTTGATCGACAAAGGTGATGACCATGGTGGTCTTGCAGCAATGGATATCAACCAAGCATGGTACAAAGGAAAGAAAGGCTATGGCAAAGGTTATGTTCACCATAAAGGCAAAGGTAAAGGAAAAGGCAAGAAAGGTGGAAAGGACTTTGGAAAAGGTTACGGCTTTGACAGCAAAGGCAAAGGTAAAGGTAAAGGTTTCGGAGGTTTTGGCAAAGGCAGAGGTCGAGGCAACTGGAAAGGCCGAGGTAGAGGTTTCAGAGGTTACAAAGGAAAAGGCAAAGGTCGAGGAAGAGGTTTCTTCAGACACAAAGGAAAAGGTAAAGGCAAAGCCCAAGCAGCTACAGGAGTGTGTCACTACTGTCACAAGTATGGACATTTCGAAGCACAGTGCAGACAGAAAATGCGTGACATGGGTTACCAGGCCAGGAACGTTGACCTTGAAAACCAGAGCGAGCAAGCGAGCACTACAGGTACTTCTACTCAGGCCCCTTCGTCAGCCAACAAGACCTCAACAAGCCAAGCAAGCCAAGGAACCCAAAGACCAGTGATTAGGATGGTCTCCATGTACCACATGGGAGACGAGCCCACAAGCTTTCCGGAGGAATTCGCACTGAGTGAGAACTCTGAAGAGATAGAGATTGAGTACTTCGGAAGAGTTTTGCGGGTTGTTGGTGAAGAAGTTCAGGAAGAGAGGAGTGAGACAGAAGAGTTTTGGATTGGTGATGAAGATGATGAGTTTCAGGACTGTGATGAGGTGAGTGATGATGCATGGTTGCAATGGCATCTAGCAGGAACTCCGATAGGAACTCAGGATCGTGGATACTACTTTGAGTGTCCCAATGGATGTCATGAAACACCGTGGCACCCAAACATGCAGGAATGTGAGAACGGATGTCACCATCCTCCTAGAAGGAACAGAGTGGAGAGAACAGCACCCTCAAGGACCATCACCAGGTTTGCGCGTGCAGCAAGGAACGCGAGAACTCGAGAGATCGAGGTCGTGCTGGATTCAGGAGCCGACATTTCGTTGGCACCGATGTGGATGAAGAAGTATGGAAGAAAGGCACCCAACACTACCAAGGTAGTTTTGCGAGATGCACAAGGATCTCGGATCAAGGTTTCAGACCAAAGGATCATTGAGGTTGAGTTTCGGGATGTTCAAGGAAACATTGTGAAGGTTGAAGAAGTGTTCTTGATTTCATCGGTTGTGCACCCTCTTTTGGCAGTAGGTAAACTGTTGAAGAAAGGCTGGGAGTTCAGAGATGGAACAGCAACAGGCACTTTCCTAACAGAAGGAACAACCAAGATCGCAGTGAACTACAACAACAACTCACTTACAACAAAAGCCTTTGTGAGAGCAGTCAACTGGGAAGCAGAAGCAAAACCTATCCCTATGTACTTGTGCGAGAACTTGAAGGAACTCATTGAAGAACAGCGTGTTGGTTGGACCAACTGGCGAGACCCTTACCAAGTCCACTTCAGCCTAGGAACCTCAGAACACGTTGATACTTACTTGATGTTTCCACCAGGAAAGTTCGCATATCGAGCAGTGCTTATTGAGGATGATGATCAGTGGTATTTGTTGCATCACAGCATCATGTTTGAGGAACTTGAGGAACCGTTTGGAACAATCTTCGATGGCAGTAAGGAGTACCGCACGCTTACGCTAGTATCGCTCAAGGAATTTCCACTGAACCTCATAGGCACCCCCAAGGAAGATGAGGATCGAAAGATGTTTGAAGAGTACACTGAGGATGCATGGTCAATCAGCATGGATGGCACTACACTCACGAGGTACCACAACTCGTTGAGGAAGACTTTGTTCAATCCTCGAGATACCAATGACATTCCAGTAGACATTGGAAACCTCAAACCAGACAGGTACACGTATGGAGAAGAACCGGTCAATAAGGATTTCTTTGAGGATGACAAGTTCTGGACTTTGGATGAGCCTCACAGAGACCCAGAACCACTAGGAGGTTTATCCTGGACAGGACGTAGTGTATTCGAACTCATTGAACCAGTGAACCCCAAGGCCAGAAGACCAAAACAGAAGGTTCACCAACTGGACACGATTCCAGAACAGGAAGAAGAACAGGAAGAGACCTCAGAGGCCCAAGCACCAGCACACAGGCATGAACTTGCAGGAGAATTGTCTTTTACATTCAACGGTCATGAGTACAATCAGCAGAACAGCCTCAAGGCCCTGAGAGAGTTGTGCAAGGAACTAGGAGTCTCAAAAGCTGGCTCTAAGCAAGAGATTCTTAGAAGGCTCAGTAGATCCATTATGGAAGCAGAAAGGCACATGGAACTTGTTTCAGGCCAGAAGAAGTACAAAGAGTTTCTAGAAGCTGAACCTCTGAAGGTACCCAAACAGCCAAAGCCGGAGGAAGTTGCAGTGCATAATCTCACACACTTACCTTATGCATCGTGGTGTCCGACGTGTGTAGCATGCAAAGGAAAAGAGTCTCCACACCTTCGTGAGAACCCAGAGAAGGAAAGATCTTCAAGACCAACTTTCT